ATATATATATATATATATATATATATATACACTTCTACATAGCACTATGTTACAGGGAATAAACTCACAGCAATTTGAAGTTGTGTCCTACTAGTAAATGACAATGCACCCTGCCATGGAAGGCCACCTGGCCCAAAATAAAGTACATGACTGTGAGTGAATTGGGGAAATGTTCGCACTAATACAGACAGGCTGCAAAATTGCTTACACAATGAGATCACAAATACATAAAAATATTTTTTTCTTATACTGTATTTTTTCCCTAATCAGAATCCCATCCCACAACTTTGCAATGCATTTCTCTAGTCATCACTCTAGCTTCCTTAAAGACTACTTATTTTTACTAGTTTTGACATATTAATTTAAAAAACAGAACATACTAAATGTAATATGGATCATGGTTTATATCTAAAGAAAAGGAAAAAAGATATTAATGGGGAAACTGGCAGAATAAGAATAAAACTGCAATTAATTAATAATGGCATGCTAATGTTAATCTTTTATTTTTGAAAAATGTACCAAAGTAATATGTTAATACTAATAATATCTTTGTGATTTTTCATAAGTTTTAGATAGTCAAAAGCAAAAAGCTTATTTTTAAAAATAGTAGGATATAAAGCTAATTAAAATACATGTGCATACATGGAAATGATAAAACCACCAAATGCAAAATGAATTATGGGTAACTGGAAAATGTCAATGTGGGTCGACCTACATGAAATGAGATGTAGCAAATTTTTGTTAATTTTCTTAGAAAAATTAAGTATAATAAAAATAAGCTTGTATTTTAGAAATGCATAGCGAAGATGAAATGAAATACTGTACTTTGATATACTGTATTAACAACAATAAAAAAGCAAAAGTGCAAAATATAACACTATTAAGTGACTATCATTTGGGGAAATGAGGCCACTATAATGTTCTCTATTTTATGTATTTCTTTTATATATATATAAAGAAAGTTTAAAAGTTCTAAAAAAGGTTGCTTGCTTACATAATTTCCAATCAATAATAATTGTTTGAGTAAACAATTTATTAAAGAAACAATATACTGTTCTCTTTGCAACTATCATATAAAAATCTTAAAAGTTACCCTAAAAGCAAAATAAATGACCAAAGGGGGAGAGGAAAGAGGCAGTTTTAGACCAGAGCGGGTTTGAGAACACCTCATAGTGCCCGTGAGCAGGTAGGGAATAAATCACGGACCTGCCACAGCATTATAACAAAGGCTAACTCCTCACTCAGCATTGAAGCAGGGCTAGCCTGTTACGGTCTCGGAGCCAAGCAAGTAAGGAAACAGAGAGAGTCTAGTGGGAGAAAGTTCCACATTGTCAACTAATACCCACTTCCCCAGGGCTGGAAGAGTCAGGTCTAAGGTTAGGGAGAGACCTCCTCAGGGACTGAGGAACCAGCTCCCATCAGGAGAGTGTAAGTGGATGTCTCCCCTCAGGCTTCTGATCTGATTTACTACCCGTAAGTATTTTTGTCTTTCACCTTCCCTAGAACAGACAAGCTGATACACCATTCTCTGCAAACGTGTATGCCAGGTATATTAAAACTTTTAAACTACCACAAACTACCCAAGCAAGAAATGTTATTATTTTATCTCTTTATAGAAATGGGAAAACTATGTTTTGAATAAGATAAATAAGTAACTTTTGCCAAAGCTCCTAGCCAGAGAATGGTGGAGTCAGAATTGATACAATCATCGGCTTCTAACCCCATGTTCTTTCCATTCCACTCTGTTGTGTCCTAAGCAAACTTCACAGAGGATCTGCTCATCGTAGTATCATCAAAACAAAGATGTGCAGGTATTCCCAGGTATGGCTTTAATCTCGTACAGTGTAGAGAAGTCACAGGCTGCAAAAAGAAAAAGGTTGGCCTCATCCTCCCACAAGCACACTCACAGGAAGAAAAGTTGGAGACCTTTTTACCTGCTCAGAAAGCTTTCTCACTTCCTTTAGAATGGAGGCAACAGGCCGGCTCCTCTCCCGGCCACGAGTGAAAGGAACAATGCAGTAGCTACACATGTTGTCACAGCCTCTCATGATAGACCTGGGGAGCAAAACGCCAGCACTCAGTAACAGAAGCGGGATGCCTGGTCCAATCCGAGGAGTGGGACTGCTCCCCTGGCATTATCCTTTGTCCCTAGGTCTTCCTGGCAGTATGCTCTCATTTGGCTAAAAACACTAAACAGACATTTTTATCAATAAAAACTAGTACCTAAATACAGGTTCTCAGACAAACTGCAACTGGTAAAGAGAGTAGTTACCCTGAAAGACTACTTTCTGTATGAAAACAGAAAAAAATAAGTATTGCAAAATATGTGTAAAGAGCAGAGACCTCAGATAAAAACAAAATCCTGTATTTTTCTTTCATTCCTAATCCAATTGCTCTTTCATTTCTATCCTACAGATGAAAGCCACAATTTATCTTAAGGAAATAATTACAGATAAATATTTATCTAAGTTCCTAACCAAATTACTAAATAACTGTCAGCTACTAAGTGCATTAAGCAATACAATAATAGAGTATTGAATAGTTATTAAAATGCAGGTTTGCAAGTTTTTTCTATAAAAGGCCACAGTAAATATTTTACGCTTTGCAGATCATATAGTCTCTGTCACACTACCTAATTCTGCTATTATAGTTGCGAAAGCAACCATATGTAATATGTAAACAAATGGTCATGGCTGTAAATAGCCGGTATTTACCCAAAAAAGTTTAAGCCCCATCTGCCAATCTTTATTACTGAAAATTTAACGATATCAGTATGTTTACCAGTGTAAGTAAAAGCAGGTTATTAAACCAGTTACACTAAGTGCCAATTTTTATAAATAAGCACACATATGAAGCATATACACATAAATGTAAAGGAAAGGGCAGGAATGGTAATAGAGTTTATCATTAAGAGGTAGAAAGAAGTACAAGTAACTGTTATTTTCTTCTTCATGCTTGTCTACCATTTCTACTTACTCATCAACAATATAAGCTATTTTGTCACCAGGGTTTTACCTTTTTTTTTTTTAAACTTAAAAGATCAGGAGAGTGAAAAAAAGGATCAGATAAGTCCAAGAAATAGTCCTAAGTAAAAAAATAAGAGTTTAATAGTCCTAAGCAAAAACATAAGAAGGTAGGGTAGGGAAAACCCCCACACTGTGTATACAAATGCATATGCAAGGAACACTTCTGAAAGGATTACACAGGAAACTACTAATGTTTCTGAAAAGTAGCCTAGGATCTTTTTGGTTTTTTTTGTCTTTTGGATTTTGTACTTTCACTCTCCACCTCTTGGGCAGTGACTCACACGAAGGCAGAAGTAGCACTGGGGCTTGTCTGGACGGGCATGATATCGGCATAGGTCTCATCCAGAGAGAGCAGCACGTTGGCAGCTTGTTGGCCTGACTCGGCGACAGCCAGCAGCCGAGGAAGGTCCCGATAGGCGTCTGGACCAGCCAGAATATCCACCATTTTCTCCCTGTTGAGTATTTCCTCCTTCAGCCTCTCAGCCATGCAGCCTGCGAGGGAAAATAAGCACCTGTTCCCAAATCCAACTGCTCTCGTTGCTTCTTCTCCATACACATTTTCTCTAGCTGTATCAAAGACCGCGGAAACTTCTCTGAGCTTAACGTCACTACTCAACTTTGCTAACACGTCCAAAACACTGAAACTGCATCTTCCGTAGGAAAAGGGCTCTAGAGAAATAAAATTAATTGCCAAAGAAAAATTAAATTAAAACACCATCCAAAAACCTTTCTAGATATGACCCATCTTTTTTTTTTAATCAATGGAAAATTATTCAGGAGTACAAATAAAACTGTTTTGTGACAGCAACTTTTCTCTTAAAATGTACTTGTCTACAACTGCACTGTCTGCCTTTTACCCTTCTTCTTTCCCAGAATACTCGTGAAAAGCTATTAAAAATGTGTTAATCATCTATGTTCGTATCTTTTTTTTTTTTAGGATTTATTTATTTGTGCATACAGAACAGGGGTATAGGCAAGAGGTGCAGAGACAGAGTGGGGAACAGAATAGGCAGATCAAAAAAGTACACTGCTGAGAGGAGCAGCGGGCAAGACAGGAGAGGTCTGCTGCACCATGTGGGTCAACTCCAGGGCAGGGATCGAACTCGCACTGAAGCAGCTGCAGCCAGCTTGCAGTGCTGCATCCTAACGTGTTATGCCACCAGGGAGGGCCTATGTTCATATCTTTTATAACCTTTAAAACACTGATCTAATTAATAAGTCCATACATTATAAAAATTCTTTTTATTATAAACACCTTCTGAGGACACTTTACTTTAAAAACCATTCTTGGTTGTACATCCATGTTTACTACAGCATCATTCATGACAGCCGAAGGGTGCCCACCAACAGATTTGGGATGTACACATACACAATGGAATATTATTTAATCCTAAGAATGAAAGAAACGCTAACACATGCTATAATATAGCTGAATCCTGAAGACATTACTTTTAATTAAAATAAACCACTTACAAAAGGAGAAATATGGCATGATTCATGATGTCCCTAGAGTATTCAAATTCACAAAGACAAAGTAGAAACGGTGGTCGTAAGGGATTGAGGCAAGAAGGGAATGAGGAATAACTGTTTAATGGGTGTGAAGTTTCATTTTGGAAAGATCAGGAAATTCTAGAAATGTATGTGTTGACAGTTGCACAACCATGTGGATATACTCAATGTCAGTGAGAAAAAAGGTTAAAACGGTAAATTTCCTGTGGCATACACCTTACCACAGTTGAGGACAATTTATTTTGGGGATTTCTGAAATGGTTAACAGATATATAGGCAGGGGCTTCAGAGAATTTAAATGGAATGAAACATTTCTGCTAATCCTTTCATCCTCCTGTATCACTTAGTACATTAACCTGTGTAACATGTATCAACAGTCTTGACCCATCATCAAAAGGAATTAACTAACTATTCCACAATAGACAGAGTCTGATTTAAGATTAAATAACATTAACTAAACACCAGAACCAAAAGAGTAGCAAATATTTTTTGAAATATGCTTCCCAGCTATCTAGATCAGTTGTCCACTGAAGTTTCTAATGACACAAATATTCTTTCTCATGCATGCACTGTCCAAACTGGCAGCCACTGTCAAGCACAGCTCCTAAGCAGTGTGCTTAGTGTGACTAGTGACAGCCAAATGGTCAGGGCAGAGATACAACTTTTCTTGGGCATGTTTCAGGAGTTAAGACAAAAAGGGCCTACACTGTTAACCCAGCCTGTCCCTTTAGACTTTAAACTCTCTCCTATCACAGCTCTGTGTCACCATGACTCTAGGATGGACGGACCTATTTCTGATACTGATTCTTTCCAGTCACTACAAAAAGTTTTATGTGATTTATCTCATTTATCCCTACTGCCTCTAACCTACAAGATACATGGGGGTGTATTAGATTCACAATGTGAATCAGCCTCTAAGAGAACCCCAAGCATTGAAGACTACCTGGAACCCAAATCTCAAAACATAAAATCTGCGAATTACCGGGTACCTAGAATCCCAATCTTCAGAGGCACACGGGAACGGAGCCTATTCGTCTTCAGGGCTTTAAGCTGATGCAAACGATTCCAGATGGTCTGTTCAGCCTTCTCCCTAAAGAAAGCAAAAAAAGGTACAACTGAGACTAAAAATAAACTCTATGTACAGAGTAATCTAAGAAAGTAGGTTAAATGGGAAAAATTACAAAAACCTTCAACCTTCAACCCTTTAGGTTACAAGAAGGCAAGCAAGGAATTACTTCGTATAAGTCACCATTCCAAGAGTGATGCCTTCCCTGCACTCCAAATCCTAGTAAGTTTCAAAGCCAAACCCAAAACAACCTACTTCACAAAGCCTTCCGAGGTCTCCTCTGCTAGAGTTTATCTTTGCTTTAACTGCTTTATCATAGTAACTACACTTTCCCCATATTTAACAATTTCTCTTTTTTGTTGTTTGATATTTTTTTTACCTAGTTTTCTGCCAGATATTAGAGCTATTTGTGTATCATGTCTTAGTTCCCATATCAGACTAAGCTCCTTAAAGCCAAGTTTCCTACAAGGATTCATTTCTGAATCACCCAAAGCACCTGGTTCAGTATTGTGCAGCAGAGTGTCTCAGGAAAAAAACAACACTGGATTAGTTAATTGATAGAATAGCCAGCTAAGGAAACATTAACACTAATGGACATGCTCACCTCTGATGTGTGCCACCCATCTCTGCTCAGAACTCTGCCCCCTGCTGATATCTGCACCCTAACCCTAAGAGATACATCATAAACATGCACCCTTAGTCATAAGAAAACCCTTAGGAAAACTTGGACGACTCTGCAACACACCGTTTCCTCCTCTAAAAAATAGTTTGATAACAATACCTACATCAGAGGGTTGATGAAAAAATTAAATTCATTATACACGCACAGTGCTTAGCACAAGACCTGACACAGAGTATATGCTTGACACGTCAGTCGGGTCTACCACTCCTATGGCCTCCGCAGGCTGACTGGCTCATCTCCACAGGTCAGCTAGCCTCACACACTTAGCACCAGCATTATTATAGGAGGTCTGTTCATTCCCAAGGTAAAGAACAAGTTCCTACCTGATAGAACATGTGACAAGGAGGATCACATCAGCCTGAGTGGGAAGCAAGGAAAAAAAAAAAGAAAATTATGATCTTTGAAATTAGCCTCACAGAATTACTGCCTACGACCCTTTCATCATGATAATGGTGGTAAAATACACAGAACATAAAATTTACCTTTTTAGCTACTTTTGAAAGCATAGTTCAGTAGCATCAGATACATTCTCATTCAACCACCACCACCTTCAAGCTCCAGAACATCCCCAAATAAATCTCCCCCAATAATAACTCTATAGCCATTAAAAACCCTATTCGCCTTTCCTCATAGCCCAATTTTAACTTAGCTCCTTGAAGGTGTACATCACCATAAAAGTTTAAAAATAACTGGAACAAAAGTATAGCTTGGTCCCAAAAGAATTCACACTTAGCAATGGGTACCCTGTCCTGAAACTGCATGTGAGAACTGGCACAAAGGCAGTCTTATAAGACCTGGGAAACAAGAGGAAGCAGGAAATGTGTGTACCTCTTTGAGGTCACTGGTCCGCAGGTAGCCATTCTTCTGCAAGATGGACCAGGCTATCTCTGTGTCATTCACATTCATCTGGCAGCCATAGGTCTCAAGGTAGACTGCAATGAGAGGGAGATCCTCTGACAGGCACACAAAGAGACCACGTGTCTTAAAAGGTCTCTTTTCAAAGTCCCCAAAATTTCTGAAGCAACTGGTTACCCACTGAGTCCCTGATGTACCCCCTAATTCAATGACAATCTATCACAACAAAAAAATTACATATATATACATATAAAATAATTTTAAGCCATGTCATTAAAATATAGGAATACCATATACCTGAGAATCAAGGGAATATGGTTTTTAAAACAATTAGAAAAAACATGTTTTTTTAAACATGTTTTAAAACAACTAACTTGATAGTGTTGATTATTGACCTGGAGGAAAAACAAATTCACACTCCATTTTCTCAAAATGAGGTTCTCCAGCCTCTGAAGATAGCAGTAGTGTCCAGATAGTACATAAAACCGCAAATTAAAATAAAGCATCCTCCTACAGAAATGTCAAACATCTTAAATGAAATAAAGCATGTCTGGGTTATGATGTAAAATACATTTGCACAAACTCTTAAGGACATGGATCTCACCCTCTGACAAGCCCCTTCAAGCTGTATTCCTAGATCAACCCTCACCCCACTGACACACTGTAATCCATAGACTCAAGTAAATTTGAATTTGCCTTAAAAGTAGAATGACAAGGAATCATTTGAAAACCAATAGAAAATAGCAATAACTTTTTTAAAAGGGGAAAGTATCAGTTTTTTTAAAACTTTTCTTGGCACATTTCTCTTACCTAAAAAAGAAAAAGAAAACATCAAGGAATTGATGAGAACACAAAAAATGAAGGACTACTAAATATCTGACAGAAGTCATAAGATACACATACACCAAGATTTATTATTTCAACTCTTAGTCTGCAACAATATTTAGTAAAGCAGTATTTCATCTACATCTGTACCTATACATGTGTGTAGCATATACACATATACACAGACACCTATAATTTTTTATGATATAAGAAATTTTTGAAATAATGTCCAACTATAGGGGACGGTTGAGAAACATCAGGGTACAACAAAATGTGATATTTTACATTAATTTTTCAGTTTTTAATTCAGAAGACTACAGTAGTTGGAAAAATGCCCAATGAAAATACCAACTTAAAATAATCTGCACCATATAGTTGTAACCAAATCTTTAAGAACTATGAAGGGAAACATGTTTTTGAAGCAGGACAAAGGGGAAATGTTTCATGTTCCTTCAAATTTTTAAGGTGTTGTAACTAACGGCATAATGTTTCTAATCTCTACCTAGGCATAAAGTGTGAATTTCTATAGTACCAACTATGAAACCTGCCTCATGACTTGAGACAATTCAGAACAGAAAGTACTGGCTTTCCAAAGGGAACCACAGAGAGGACTCCACAGACTATTAGGCCCCAGGACACCATGAGTTTCTTTATATTAATGTTACTCGGTAAAGGAATCTTCTCAGACTGTTAACCCTCCAAAGTTGGATCTACAATAAAAGAAGCTAAATAATTGGCCCAGGAGGCCAGAGGAGCAAAGTAGAAAACCCAGAGAGAAAAGTAAAACCAACCTTTTCTCTGCCTTCCTAAAAGTTCATCCACCGTGACATAGGGAGGTGGATCCTCCTCGTGTGGAGAGGACACCTTTTCTTGAGGAGCTGAAGAACTTAGAAAATGCTGAAAACTCGGTCCGGTGGCCAGCCTGGAACTGAAATCCTTCTGAACTCCATCCTCCTGCTGCTTCTCCAGACTGGGAGATGTGGAGCTGGATCCACTGCTATGTGTCCGCAAAGTCCTAAGCAGCAGCCAGGACAGAGAGGCTACGGGGCTCCACCTCAGAGACTTCTGCACAGGGAGGACACGCTGCAAGGGATGCATGGTGCTGAGTAAACATTCCAGCATCTGGAGCAGGAAAGAAAGGCGAGACATCACCAACCCTGGCTGAACATTACCTACTGGCCAAAGGCACTTTGCAAACGTTACATTTTTTATAAATTTAAGGTTTGTTGGCAACCCTGGTTTGAGTAAGGTTATCAGTTCCATTCTTACAACATGTCCTCACTTCATGTCTGTGTTCTCCTTGTGATAATTCTTGCAGTATTTCACACTTTTTACTATTTCTGTATTTATTCTGGTGATCTGTGGTATTACTATTTAATAGCAAGAATGACACCACTCTAAGCCAGCAAACTTAAGGAATATTGTGTTCTGACAGCCCCTCAGATCTCCCTATTCTAAGACACATTAATTAAACTTAGGCCAATGAATAAGTTTACAAAAGCCTCTAACTGTTTAAGTAAAAGGAAGTGGTGAAACTTTAATGAATGAGGACTCCCTTCTTATGCATGAGTAAAGAAGTGATTTCTAGAGATGGTTCCATCCTGGTTGAAGATGCTGTAAACATTGTTGAAATGCCATCAAAGAATTTACAATATTACATAAATTCAGCTGACAAAGCAGCAGCAGAAATTGAGAGGATTAACTCCAATTCTGAAGGAAATTCTGGTGTAGATAGAAAGTTTCCCAACAACAATACAGGGAAATCTTTCCTCAAAGGAAGAGTCAACTGATACAATAAAAGTCACTGCTGTCTTAGTGCCACAGCCATGGCAGCCTTCAGCAACCACCCCCGCAGCCATCCCCCACTGCATGGAGACAAGATCCTCCAACAGCACCAGCAGGATTTACTGAAAGCCCGGGTGATGGTTAGGATTTTATAGGAATAAAGTGTTTTTAATCAATATATATATGTATTGCTTTTCCTTAGACATAACATTATTGCACACTTAGACTGCAGTTATAAAAACGTAACTCACACACACTGGCAAACCAAAAAGAATTGTGACTCACTTTATTGCAATACACACTTTATTGAGGTAGCCCACAACCAAGCCCGCAGTATCTCCAAGGCATGGCTGGGTTAAAACATTTAAAGACACCATTAAAAACCCAACTTGGCATACAGTGCTTCTTCAATAACTGCACATTTGCAATCCACACTCCCTTTCATGAGAGTATAAAAGCACTGTGGTTAAGCGTATGGACGCTGGAGCAGTCTGATGGTACTGCTGCCTGGCCAGGTAACTCAGAAGTGGGTGTCTCCATTTCTGTATGTGTGAACTAGAGCTACCTGTGTCTGTTGTATTAAACTGGACAAAAATTAGTAAAATACTTGCAAACACAATGGCGAAGGCCACAGTTGAGGGCTCAGAAATTGGTAGCGGGTAACAACGAGGCCGAGAACCTCATCTCAACAAAAAATAACCCTAAATATAAGATGTCTCAAACATTTTGCTGGGTGGCTGACAATGGGTCAGGCACGACGCTAAACTTACCCCTGCATAAGCGAATTTAACCTTCAGTCACCCTGTGAGGCGGGTGCTACTATCATCCCCAGTTCAAAGGTAACTACGCAAAGGCTGGCGGGGAAGGGGGTGACCTGCACTAAAGCCACAAGCGGAGCAGTCTGGGGAACCCCGTAAGAACCTGGACAGGACCCGCGCCGGAACCGGAGAGCCCATCACCCCTGAAAGACCGCGCGGTCCCAGGGCTCCGCCGCGCCCGCGCGCAGGCGCGGACTCTGGAGCACACGTGTGCAGCTCATCTGCGCCCCGCTCCGCTCACCTGCCGCCGCCCGCAGGCACAGCGCTGGCGGCACAACTTGCCTCAGCTCGGGAAGACCCCTCAGCGAACCCCAGTACCCGACAGCCGGAACACGAGTGACTTCCGTTCCGCTGGGACTTTTGTCCGGAATGACCCAACGGAAGTGCCGTCTCTGTACGGCCCGGGTGGATCCAGGAGATCCAGGTTCCGGGCTTTGAAAAGCGTCCTAGAGGACAGCTGGCAACCGAGCGCTGCCAATGCTCAGTTAAGTGTGCTCTTCGTGCAAACTACGAAGTGGAGGTCGAAGAAAAATTGCCAAATGGCGCATCAATCATTTGCATATTGATTAAGTGTTGAAATACTAGTTGTGATTACACTGAGTTACAGAAATATGTAATTTAAAATAATTTCACCTGTTTTGTTTTTTTTTTTTTTAACTTTTTTAATATGGCTGCTGGGAAACTTTAGACTTCACACATGCTCACATTCCGTTTCTATTGGCCACCGCTAATCTGTAGGTAAAAGACTTACCCATTCACTTCTCCAACCTGAACCCCTTCCACTTGGGGTTACAAACTCATACTTTAAGCTGCCTACCTGGCACCTCTGCTTGAATGTTTAATGATCGTCTCTATCTTAATACAGAACTCTTCGTCTCCACACATCCTCATCCAAATTATGTTCCTGCTAAGTCTGGCCCATCTGAGTAAATGACCAGTTGCACTAGGAGAAATTGAGCTATCATTTTTGTTTTATTTTCCTCAATGTCCACGTTCGGTCTGTCAGCAAGTCCTGTCAATTCTAACCTCAATGTGTCATATCTGTCCACTGCCCACTCTACCCACCTTTCTGTGCTATAGCTCTAGCCCAGGTGATCACCTCATCAAAAATGATTGTAATACCCTTCTAACTGGTTTCAGATAGGTAATTTCCTACGCAGAGCCTAAGAGAATTATGAGGTTGCTTATTTTATTGCATTAATACCAACTCCCTGTTTCAAGAACTATGTATTGTTCACCATGGCCATCCCCTCTTTGTTCTTAATCTTGGCCTCTTAGAGTCACAGGACAGAGGGATTCCAGAGCTGAAAGGAAGCCACTTTCAGGGCTTCCATAGTGGGAGTGTCAAAGAGGAACCAGGACATGAACCCAGGTCTCAGCCTTTTAGAACTGGCTTTCAAATATGCATCTTCCTCTAGTAGCCCCAATAGGTGTCCCCTTCCCCCTTTATAGCCAGCCAGGAAGCAGCAGGTCAATTCTGATTACCTATGAGACCAAACTGGGAGCATGAGGGGTATGCTCTGATACCTGCTAGTCTGCCCCCACCTGCACATACACACTCAGCAGCTCTTCCCCACATACCCTGCCCCACACACATACCACTCCATATGGGAGCCAGAGATCATTTTACCACTGACCCCTCCTACACCCACCACACTCCAAACACTTCAGCTTCCCTGTTGTGAAGTCTTGAATAGTTTTGTGTCTTAGATATTGAAGGTGATTTTTCCCAGACTCCAGGAGTTTGGAGGCTCCCTATTCCACTGTACCTCAGGATGTCTCACCTGGAATCCTATTACCCCTTCCACCTAATTCCTACTGGTCGGTGATAATTATGTTTCTGAGCAATTATGCCTTCCCTCCTTCCCACTGAGCTTAGCCTCAAGTACACGACTAGTTTTTGTCCAATAGAATGAGGATAGGCATAATGCAGACAGAGAATGTAACTGTGCAATTGCTATTTGATGTCTTTGAGCTCCAGCCACGTGCCTTGAGAAGCACATTCCTTGGAAGCTGAGGCCCCAGTTTCACACTGTGCTCCAGAAGGAACAAAGAGTGGAACTGAGCCCAGCTCCCAGCCTAGAGCTACCCAGCCAAGCACAATTTTGAATGGTCAAATGGCAATCAACATGCAGCCCCAAAGGCATGAAAATAAATGCCTGTTGCCTTGACCACTGCTATTGGGGTTGTTTTTTTCCACAGCATTATTACAGCAGAAGTTGATTTTTAGAATGCCCCTCTGATGAACAACAGCTTCCGTGTCTCTCCTAAGAGAAATGTCCCCTGAACCCTTAAAGGAGGTGGCTTCTCTGCTTTTACATCTGTCCAATTTGAATCATACCCTTGCACTAAATCTTTCCCCTCTGCATGGTGACTTGTCAATCTCATTCTTAGCAAATCAGTCCCTTGCCCCAAAGAGTAACACAGAGTAAGTGCATTCTATATATTCCCCAAAGGCATATGAATTTGTTACTAGGCAAAGGTTCTAAACACTGTCACTGGGTTAGTGCCTCTTACCAGTTCTGGATCCAGCCACCTGCCACCACAAATGCAAACAAAAAGGCCTTTGTTAGAGCAAAAGAAAAATACATAGCCAACAGTATAGAAAGAGAGGAGAACTATCAGAGCGGAGGGCGAGGGAGAAGGAACAGTTACCGACCAGTGGTGCAAAGTGGAGGTGCAGTGAAAGGGGCTGCAGGGTGCTGCGAGGTCTGCCCCTCCTGAGGTTGCCCCTGCCTCGCCATAAGCCCAGTAGGGCAGCTGCCATCCACAGCAGCTCGGAGAAGAGCGTCTACCAGCAATGCTTGTGTTAAAGGCTCCGACGATGCTATGCCCCCTCCCCAGCATTATTCTGGATGTCAGGGGTGAGTGTAGACCGAGGCACTGTCCAGCCACAGTCTGGTTTGGGCAGTGTTTGGATGTTAGGGAGCAGAGTTCAGCCCTGATCCTGGTGGAAAGACTGGTACAGTCTGTGCCCAGCCCGAGAGGCTGTGCCAACCACCCCAGGAACCCCAGGTGCAGGGCTTAACTGCACCTGCCACTCCAACAAAGAGGCGGATTGATTGGCAGATGGATGGTAATCAAGACTGGAATATCTTTACTTACCTGCATTTCCCAGTTTTCTAGAGCATCTCTGGCCAACTTGTATGTGACTTCTTGTGAGTCTTTTTCCTCATCTGGAGGTCTGACTAGAAATGCTTAGTTCAACACAATATCCACAAGCCATGCGTGTCTACTGAACATCTGACATGCAGCTAGTATGAAGAAGGAGCTGGATTTTATTGCCACTTAGTTTTACTATCAAAACAAATGATCGATCTGCAGGAAAACTAGTAGTTGTTGAAACAGCTTGGGTGTATAAATCTTTGTTAAAGTTGAAAAATGTTCATTGCATATCTTATTTTAAATAATTTTTATTAAAATTACTTTGAATTATGGGCCCTCCCTAGTAGCTCAGTGGGTTAAAGCACAGCACTAAGAAGCTAAAGCCACTTCAACATGAGTTCGATCTCCGCCTACTCCAGAGGTGACCCACTTGGTGCAGCAGACCTCTCCTAACCCACTCGCTGCTCCCCTCAGCAGTCGGCCAGTTCTGCTCCCCACTCTGTCTCTGGTGAAGCCTCTCACTGCCCCTGCACCTCTGGCCTGTACCCCAGTTCTGTATGCTCAAATAAATAAATCTTTTTAAAAAATTGAATTATAACATGGCATAGGTTGTATGTGTATCACTATAAACCAACACCTAGGTATAAACTAATCTACTCTTCCAACTATTTATTTTATGAACTCTAAAAAGAATTTCCAATAAAAATTTGACACCTCTAGGTGTAAAATCATACCAGATTTCAAAGACTATATGAATAAAAGAATGTAAAACATTAATGTTTATATTATGTACCAAAGTGATATTATTTTATGCCTGGTGGGCTAAATAAAATTCTCATTGAAATTATTTTCATCCTTTTTCACTTTTTTAATGACACACACACTGTATTTCTAATGTGCTGGGCCAGAAATTCTGGACAGGGCTCTGAAGTCAGGCAGACCTGGCTGGAGCCCACACTCAGATTTCTCAGAGCCTGGTGACTTTGGGTAAGCCATCCCAGCCTTGGAGCCCCAGTGTGGTACTGTGAGATGGAGCTCATCATGCCCCTGCATTGGCATGTGGTGACAGTCCAGGGAGGACATGTGTGCACAGGGCCTGACAGGTCCTCTCAAAGTGTGGCCTCTCGTGACTTTTGTCACTGTGACTTTCTGGACAATGTAAGCAAGTAGGGTGTTTTAAATATGGCAAATTCGCATCCAGCCGGCATGTTCCAACTTCCAAGGCCCGTTCCATGAAGCACTCTCCAAGCATCCTCCTGCAGGAAAGGGGCCCAAAGCTCTCTATGATTTTAAAATAGGTCCACAAATTCCTTGACATTCCTGTCTTTAAGCAGTGGAGCCTAACCCCCTTGAGTGTGACTCAGCACTGAAGAGTAAAATAAACTGCTGTGACAGTATGTGACATCCAAGACTGAATCATAAGAGGCTCTGTAGATTGCTCTTGGCTCTCCCTTCTGTGTCCCTTGCTCTGACAGAAGCCAGAAGCCAGCTACCTTGTCATCAGCACACACAGCCCTTCAGGAGAGAGCCATGTGGTGAGGATCTGTGACCTCCTGCCGGCAGGCATGTCAGTTAGCAATTCTGGAAATGGGTCTCCTAGCCCCATGCAGATCCTCAGATGAATGCAGTCATGGCCACCTTCTTGACTGCAATCTCATGAAAGAGCCTCATGAAGGACACGAATCACCCAGCTTATACCCTCTCTGACTACTGATTTATGAAGCCTAAAAGTTGTTGAACACTCATTTTTTTCAGGAGTTGTTTGTCACAGAACACTAGCTAACCACTATACTCAGCCTGCCTTGGCTCCCTGGTGGTGGGAGAGGTTAAAGCGCAGCACTGTGGAGCTCTCTGCAGCCACTGCAGCACAAATTCAATCCATGGCCAGGGAGTGACCCGCATGGTGCAGCAGACCTCTCCTGTCTCGCCGGCTGCTCCGATCTACATGTTCTGCTCCTCACTCTGTCTCTGCTGAAACCTCTCATCCCCTGAACCTCTGGCCTATACCCCAATTCTTGTATACATAAATAAATCTTTAAGAAAATAAAGAAAAGGCCTGCCCTTCTCCAAGGCAAGGGGCCCAAGTCCTGGGTCAGGTTCATCCTAGGACTACAGGGCCACCACAGGACCCATAGGCCACGGCACAAAGCACAGAAACTAGACCAGGCTGCCTGTGTGCTTCCAAGCTGTTTATTTATCCAAGAGTAAGGAGGAGAGAGAAAGGGTGGAGAGAAAACCGGTGCCCCAAAGTGGTGGAGCTGAGGGGAGAAAGGAACAGAAATGATCCTCCTCTTTCTCTTGTCTTGCACCCCAGGGAAGTCCAACTTCAGGGGCCTCTGACAGTGGCTTAGGGGCCTCTAGGAGGCCCGGCAGTTGTTGGCTGGAGGCAGCATCCCCACAGGGACAGGCCCCAGGCTCGGAATGGCTTCTGTGCACACAAAATCTCTCTGCAAAGGCACTGATGGGGGGAGAGGGGCCGAAGGAGGCTGCCCCATGAAAGGCAGGCTCCTCTGTGATGTGGGTCTGGGTCCCGGTCCCTAAGACTACCCCAGCCTCCCTCGGGGGCGGGGTCTCTGTACCCTGTTCCTTCCCTCTCCCTTCCCTCAGCCCAGAGGCGGGCAGCCAGTCTGCGGAGGGCCAGGCAGGCCACGTGCTGCACGCTCCTCTTCAGGGCTGGAGCGCCTGGTGACCTCTACGCCAAAAGCCCCAGGCGGGTGACTTTGGCAGAGAGGAAGGAGTGGATGATGAAGACCATGGTTTTGGGGCACGAGTGCAGGTCCAGCTGCTGCAGGTGGATGGAGAGAAGGGGGGTCAGGCAGCCCATCCGGCCTGGCGTGCAGGAGGGCACGGCCCCCTCCCCTTCCACTCACAATCTCTCCTTCAGCACCCCCGAAGTCCAGGAAAAGGAGACTGGCACCGTCGTCAGAGGACATCTGCAGCTTCTCGAAGGGCTGTCGGAGCAGCAGGGCTCCCGCTGCACCTGGCTCCGCCGCCCACAGAGTGAAGCCCTTGTCGATGTGCACAGAGAGGCTGCAGGGCCGGCCGTTCCACGTGCAGGCTGTGGGGAGGGTGTGTGGGGGCAGGCACGGCCGGCACCTTGGCGACCGCCCCCCCCACCTCCAGCCCCCAGGGCAGTTCCAAAGTGGAACCTGAGAACTGCTACACACACCCTGTGTGGAGTCACACCCACCCCGAACTGAGAGACTACCCCACCTCCAGTCCCACTTGCACTAGCACCAAAAGTGGGAGGGAGAGGGTGACGCTGTCATGCAGGAGCCCCCCCCCCCAAAGGCCTCTGCAGGTTCACCCAGCACGGCCCTTGGGAAGCCGAGACCAGCAGAAGTTGAATGAAATGTGAGTTGCAGATGAACAACAGACAGTCTGGGTATACTTACCCACAAATGTTATTTGTTGCCTATCTAAAATTTACATTGAAGGAGGTGCTCTATAGTTTATATTCTGGCAACCGTATTCCAAGCACCCCCTCCCACAGCCCCACCAGCACAATCTCAAACCCAGGACAAGAAAACCCGGGACAGAAAGTCTCGTTACCTAGCGGCACCTGCACATCCAACCCAGAGGCCCGCGGGGACGCTCAAGCCCCCCTCACTATTCCCCTAAAGGAGGCATGACTACCCCTGGGGATGGCTATTACCAGAGAGGCACTCCCAGGTCTCCCCAGCCCACCTGTAGACACCTCCTGCACACCCTCAGCTGCTCGGTGACAGCCATCCACCAGCTGGCGGGTCCAGGCAGCCAACTCCTGTGGTGACTCCACGCTGAACAGATGAGTGTCCACGCCGTGGCGCGTGCCTGTGCGCAGGGCGAACGAGAGCTCGGCGTCGTAGGGCGCTGAGCCCTTGGCGGGGCCTGAGTGCACCAGCCTGGGGCAGAGGAGCAGAGGGCTAAACACGAGGCCTCCAGCAGCGGGAAATAGTTCTAGGTCAAGGGATGGGGGCCTGGAAAAGGGGCTCTGTCACCTAGTGGGGGGACAGGACTTCCAGATGGGCACTGGTTAGCCCACAGGAAACCACCTCCGGCCACCTTCCCCTCGCTCCCAGGGAAGCAGTCTTACCGACGTCTTCAGACACAGCCAGCGCACTCCTGCCTCAGCACCTTTCCCTCTCACAGGTTTGCTCTTCCCTGATTATCTGCACTTGCTCACCGCCTTCACTTTCTTCAATCTTTGCTCAAATGTCACCTCCTGAGAACCCTTCCTGACCTCCCTAAGGCTCCCTCACGAGCCTTGTTGCGATCATGATGACCGATGTTCCGCCTATTCTCTGCTTGGCTCGGCTGGTTTCTGCTTGTCTTTTCACCAGGTACTATCTGGGGACAACTTGTGTCTACCTTGTTCTAGCCAGGAACTAAAACAAGGCCTAGCACAGAGTAGGTGCTTGATAAACATTTCTGGCCCGAGTGAAGGAGCCGCTTGATTGAGCAGGCAACACATGCCGCCCTATCCCTGGCAGCCCAGCCAGCAGGCCAGAGCCCATCCCAGCACCAAGAGACCTGGACACGAGAGCCAGCCCCTCGCTGGGTGCGACTCTCACCTGCTGCGGGTCCCTGGGCAGCCACCGTGCCTCTCTGAACCGCCCAGCAGACCTCGGAGCTCCAGGCCCTAGTCTTCCTTGCTCTTGCTGCTCCGTGTGCTCTCTCTCTCTCTCTCTGGGAGCCTTGGCTCCCCTTGGAGTGGCTGCTGACACCCAGTCTCCCACAAGTCCCCCAGCTTCCTGTCCAAGCCCCCTAACCGTCCCACACAGATCGGACTCACTCAGCACATTGTACCCGCTCCTCCCTCTGTGCTCCCGCCCCAAGCCTCCTGCCGCCCAGACTGCAAGCCCCAACCTCGTGCTGATCCATTCATCCTGCACACCTCCCTCACCCTCCCCATCTGGCGAGCACTGAGCCCGGTTAATTTTACCACCCATGTGTTTTCCAATGCAAATGCAGCCTTTCTTCTCCATCTGCTGCTTCCACCCACCTCCACCATCTCTCCTGGACGACAGCAGCAACCTCCCTACTTCCATCCTGTCCCCTCCATGTGGCACTTTCCACATGGCAGCCACACGACTCTTTTAAAATGCAACAGTCAACTCACTTCCCAGGCTAAAACCCTCCTCTGAAGACTGAGCTAGCATCCTTCTGCTGCCAACAGAGGCTCAGCCAGAGCCAGCGCCCGTCTCATTCCCCTCCAGCTCCTGCAGACCCTACTGGTTGGAGCCATGCGCAGCTCCATGAACCTGTCATAGCCCCTCGGGCCGCCGGACCTTTGATCACATCCTCTCCATGTGAGAAACTCTCCACCCTTTCTTAATAATCAACCACTGAAGTCGAAGTCAATGTCACCCCCAGTCGGAAACCTTCCCCAGCCAGACCAGGCAGAGTACAATGGCTCCGACAATTCTGCATCGTGAAGACTAACCCGGGCTCAGCCTCCCCCACTACACGGGGTGCTCCCTGGGTGCAGGCTGTGGGGATCAGACCCTTATCCCCTGCCGCACAGGTTGAGCAGAGAAGGTAGCGATGACTGAGTCTATTTCCAGCCCCCCTTTTACAGATAAGGAAGTGGAGGTCCAGACAGGATAGAGATTTGTTTCAGTCGTCTGGGAAATAAACCAGGAGACTAACTCCAGAGCATCACCCCCAGCCCTGGGCCAGACCCACGCCCCGTGTGGCTACCTGGTGGCGATGAGCGGCGCGGTGCGGGCCGGCCGGCTCAGGGCCTCGCGGGTCTGGGGCAGGCAGCCGTAGAGGAGCAGCTCCTTTTCCGTCAGCAGGGCCAGGGTGGGTGCTGTGCCCCCGCTCGGCAGCTACAGGGGGCAAGGCACAGTGAGGGGGGTGGAGAGTGGGAAGGTCAGAGGACCCGGGCAGGGTGCGGTGCAGAGGAGCAAGGGAGTGGAGTCAGTGGCGGGGCGGGGTGGGGGCCGAGGGGGCAGGTGTTCCGGCCTGCGCACCTGCTCAGTCAGCCAGCCGACCTGCTTGACGTCCTGACCCCCAGCCGCACTGGTGGCTGCCAGCAGTGCCTGCAGCTCATCCTTGACCCAAGGCACCAGAGCGTTGATCTGGGCTTGGATGGCAGCTGCCCACGACCTTGCACTAGCCTCATCCTTTGCCCTCAGGAAGAGGGTGTCTTGGCCATCTGGTGAGCAGATCTCCAAGTACCTGCAGGCACAAACAGGGTGGAGGGAAGGGCCCGTCCTCTGGGCCACGGCTGCCCAACCCTGAATCCCCATCTACGTCAATGAGCAGAGACCCCAGGGGATGTCCCCGAGAGAATCAAGAGCGACTCCTACTGCCAGCATCCAGCCACAATTGGCACCTCGGGACGTCTGGGAACAAAAGACTCTGGCACACACACGTAGGCATACACACACAAACATGCAGATACTCAAGCATGTGACAGGGCCAAGGGTACTCATGATCATGTTCTTTCCTCCTGGTTTCCAAGGACTCTCTTGCTGGGCCAGCTCCCAGGTCCTCCTTTGTGGTACAGCCACAGTTACTTTTAATTCTAATTATTAATTAGAAGGACAGAAACTAACAAAGATAGATAGGTCAAGTTAGTCCACATAAAAGGCTGGGAGGATGGAGGAGGAAGAAAGGAGGAGAGCAAAAGCCATGCGGGGTAAGTATGAAGGAGGAGTTTCAGGAGGCACCAAGACGGCAGTGACAGGAGAGGATGTTCTGTAAGTGTTGCGGGCATTGGAGGGTCACGCCCCTTGACTTCTGTGACTGACAAGGTGTGGCAGAAGCTCACTCACTGCCACGCCAACCCCCTGCCTTCGCTTTCCTCCACTGTAGAGCGACAAGGCAAAATGCCCGACTTCCCAGGCTCCCTTGCAATTGGGGCTGGCCCTGATCCAGTTCTGACCAATGATAAATGGATGGAAGTTCTAGAGAGTGACCCTTCCCAAATGAAAGATAAAGCCTCCCTAGATATGGCAGTTAAGTCTCCAGGCAGCCTCCACCAAGTTTATCCTTCCCTATATTCACTGACTGAGTACTTCTCTCATCAAGAGGTGGAATCTGTTTCTCCTTTCCTGAACTCTGTAACTGGGTTTGGCAAGTAAAGTTAAATCCAAGTACTAGATGCTGAAACCAAGGACCCCGTGGGAAGAACAAGCTTGCCCCAAGGAAAGCCTATATAGAAAAAGGGGTGCATAGCCACCCCTAGCTGTTCCAGTCATTCCAGCTAAGGCAGAAGACATGTGGGTAAAGCAGCACCTTGGACTTCCAGCCCAGCAGGTGCCACACAGAGCAGAAGAAGTGGCCGGCCGAGCCAGCCTACATCACAGGGTTATGAGAAATAAACCGTTACCTTGCAAGCCACTCAATTGCAGGATGGCCTCATTATGCAGCAAGGGAAAAAAATACCACAGAAAAGTTCCTTTGCCTTTTGCCTTCTCCCTGTCTGGAATAAGAAGACTGTGTTTGGAGCATAGCCACAATAAAGAAGAAAATCTAGAATAAAGATGGCAGGGAAAGAAGCTGCAAGCCTGGCTCCTTGAGGGTGTCCTTGAGCAGCTAGAGCCTAAACAGCTGCCAGGCTTCTTTTTAAATACATGGAAAAGTAAACTTCTCGTCTTAACAGTTCTCATAAAAAGTAAGCCACTATTTGGGGGGGGCAGGGGGTCTGATACTTGCCATCTAATATAACACTAATATTATGTAAAAATTTGGAGTCTTTCTCATATTTTGGGCTGTGTTCCTTTGACTAAAAAATGTTGATACAGAACCCCAATTATACGCAAGTTGCACGTGTAGTCAGGTCTACAGAATGCACACTGCTGAGCATACATGTACACATGTACACACATGCACACACACATATTAACATAAGCACACACCATGAATCCACAGCCATAAATGTGCAGGTGCTCGACACATATACACAAAGACTTGTGTTTACATACCACCTACATGTGTACATGCATAGACACTCATGTACACGCATGCTGTGAGTGAGGTCCATGGATAACCCAGGCCCTCTGAGTCTCAGAAAAGAACAATGCCACGTAGTCACCCAACACGAAAGACCTGGCATGCATCTAGGCTGTACTAGGACGCACAGTGCAAGCTTTTTATGCCCACACCATATATAGGCCACCCCCAAACCAAATACCCAACTTAACATCTACTCCAGCCAACCACCTCCAACACGCAAGCCCTACTGCTTCTAAAGCAGGGCTACCTGCAGCGAGGCAAGCTCCATCCCTTCCTGGCTGTGTGATCTTGGACAAGTCACTTCCTGGCTCTGGCCTCATCTATAAAATGAGGTGAAATACTAGGACTTTGCTCACAGGGTCACTGTGAGAATTAAATGGAATGGTGCATGGTAAACACTCAGTAATGTTAGCTGGCATCAATTTTATCAGCAAATTACTAAGAGTCACTCAGAATAGTGATCTTTCGTGGCCCTGATCCAAGTACTATCAGACATCTCAGCACCTCAGCAGAGGTAGAAGAAATGGAGGGAATCGCGGAGCCCAGCAGCCATATTTCACAATGGGAATCTCAGTGTCGGTAAGTAGCGATCTCAAGAGAACCAGGTCTGGACCTCAAGGTTCCTCTGCAGATCAAGTTCCTCTTTGGATATGAACCACAGAGGAAGAAGAAAGAAGTAAAGCAAACCTCACCCTCCCAACTGCACTCTCGCACTCATTCAACAAACATTTCTGCTATGCCCGGACATCATGCTGGCAACACAAGGGCACCTTCCTTTGGTCCCTCGCCTAACACCAGGCCATGTGTCTGATGCCCCCACCCCAGACTTACCTGGGCTCTGGGTCAGTGGGGGTGCACCTCCTGGAGACATACGCCATCTTCAAGGACACGTGTTTGGCATCACTGAGGTCCCGGGGTGGCGGGCCAGGGGAGGAGGGCTGCCGCTGAAGGGGTGAGGCAGGAGGTGAGTCCCAGCCAACCGAGGTCCCGCCGGCAGAGTTCTTGAAATATGGTGAGACCTCCTTCATGTACTTGACTGGTCAGGGGATAGGTCAGCAGTTATCACTGTGGCCAGGGCGCCCGTGCAACACACATCGCAACTGTCATTCATTCGTTAAGAGATTCATTATGTCCAATGTCACCATCCTCCTCTAGGCTAAAGTCTCCGACAGGGAATATGTAGAAAACACTGGATGCACATCAACATCCGCCCTGGACTCCCCCTGACTCACAGTCACGTGGCAACCTGGACGCAAAGTGATAGGTCCCAGCCTCTTGCAGCTAGGTGTGACCATGAGTCTAAGCAGAAGCATTTGTCCCTTTAGAACAGCTGTTTAAAGTGAATAGACAACTGCTGCTCCCTGTAAACAGCCGTCCTGGAGGCAGTGAAAGAGCCCTGGATGGGAATCGAGAGATGAGCTTGCCTCTATCTCTTCAGTCTTCTCATCTGCAGACAGGAGGGAGTGAATGAGATAGCCCCGTCGCAGAGGCTGCTCATTACCCCCAATAAATGATAGCAACCCAGCTAAAGACTTCATTTTTCGAGCTGCCATGCAGCTGTAAGTGCCCGTGTGACAAGCCTGGCCGGCAGAATGACCTCAGAAGGGATGTGTGCAGTGCCAAGCTCTGTTCATTAGTGAGGGGCATCCTGCCTGTGTCCCTGTCCCCAGCAGGGCTGAGCTACCAAGCTCTGTTCATTAGTGAAGGGGCACACCCTGCCTGTATCCCTGATCCCAGCAGGGCTGAGCCAGCCAGAACATGGACTGTGGGGCACCTTCTTGATCATGAGGACATGAGCCATACTCCAAGGAAGGCTAATCAACAAAACAGAAGTAAATGGATGCTGGCACTATGGAGATGCCATGTCACATGTGGACCAATACCTAAGAAAGCGAGAAGCTTCTATTATTTTAAAGCCACAGTACTTCTTGTTATAGCAGCAGAACGTGTAGTCTCCCCAACACAGACACCTGGGGCCCTCTTAGCACTGACCAACCAACACTGGGGAATGTGGTGGGCACTTTCTAGAATAGTGTTGTTCAACACAACTTCCCATTATTATGTAAATGTCCTATATATATATACACTATCCAATCCAGTAGCCACTTTCGAGTCACTAGGTGGCTGTCGAGCACTTAAAATAAGGCTAGAGTAATTAAGAAATTGAATTTTTCATTTTCACTAATTTAAAATTAAATTCAAATAATCATATCGAGTTAGTAGTGACCATGTTGAGTAGCACAGTCCTAGATAAGAGCCCAACCTACATCTGCTCGACTAACACCAGCCTTGTTGTGATCTGTGACCCTGTCTTCCCAGGCTACGGGGTGAACAAGTGACCCACACTCATCTTCCCAGACTGAAGTCTGGAGAGTCCTAGACTGGTGGTTTGAACAAACTTGAATGTGATGCGGTAGCCACCTTCTGCTGTGAGGACAGAAAAAGGGAGAAAGGTGGTCTTTACAGAGAGAGGATCAGTGGAAGTACGCACTGACAGACAGGGGAAGGCCCTGCCAGTATTTTATTTCCTATACTCATCCTTTAGAAAATTAAGCTGCCATCCCACCAGCAACCAAAAGAGTCTTGATGGGGGTCTGAATCCCAAGTCTTTCTAGAAAAGGAAGATGTCGCGAACAAAAGTAGCTGGAAGCATAGGACAACATGATGGCGGGGTTGATCTGGAAAAACCATGGTAAAAGTAGAAAGATTCAGAGACAAGCCATTTCCTTGAGTGCCTATCATGTGCCAGCCCTAAGACTGGGATGGTAAAAACATAACATTGCTCCACTTCTGGGTGTCCCACGGCAGCCACCTCCAATCAATTAAGACTGACTGGTAACAGAGCACTTTGGTTATTCTTGTTATATCAGCTAGATGAGTTTGGCTGTAAATAACAGAACATATGATAACAGTGTCTTCAGCAATATAGATATGTATGATTTAATGTGATATGAAGTCTAGAAGCAGTTGATTTCAGAACTGGGTCAGTGGCACTGAATTAGAGTAGGCCTCGTATTACTTTCTTGGCCTTCCTCTCAAGCCAATCATTCCTTATGTGACAAAACCCAAAGCAGGAGACATGCCCTCTTTCAAGAAGTAAACATTCCCATGTAGACGTCTCCTATATCCATCTCATTGGCCTTCTCATTAGTGAAAGGGAACAGTCATGACCTAGACCCATTGCAGTTCAGTCTGTGATGCTGTTAGCTAGGAAGGAGTGGAAGTTGTTGGTAGACACGCAAGCAACAGTGTCTGGCAATTTGCTCTGGCATCTAAGTTGTTCCCAATTCTGAGGAGCATGAGTCTTCCTAGTGAGCTACTAGGAAGAACATATGTACATCAGTGGTTAAAAGATTTGCCCAAGCACTGGTCTCTCTTCTCCCAAACAGGCCATCCTCCTGAAGGGTATCTCTGTCTGCTACCCCTTGAGCTGCCTACTCACACCTCCTCTCCATGACCTCTGCCCCCATGATCATTTGACGTTTGCAGTCAAAGCCCAACCAGCATGCCCTGCCTATGAGGAGACAATCCAGAAGAGGTAGCAGTTCTTGGCCTAGCTCCCTGGAAGAACAAGATAAGAAGCTATTTCCATTTCAGGAGACTGCCCCTGAGGTACAAACAGGATCCAAGGTAAACAGGGGTGAAAGTGAGAGGTAGTAACAAGCCCTGTTGGGGTAGGAAGAGAAGTTACATTGACAATAAATGGCAGGCTTTTTTTTTTTCTTTTCCTTAAAGAACTAAGCCTACACCCAAAGTCTGGAGACCAGGGCTAACAATGACTCACCCACATCACTACGGTAATAACTTACCCCAGGACTGACCACTGGACATGTCTCAGGGGCGTTGGAGAGGGGGCCCCATCTGGTCTGCCCAACAGCTGCCAGCCTGCCCCCACCCCCAGCAGAACCCTGTGACCCACAGGACTGGTTTCTTCCAAGCCAAGGAGAGAAACTTGGTCACTCAAAGCTAATGAGGATCTTTCCATTCCTTCTGCCTGTGACCAGTTAAGGAAGAGGTAGAGGATCAATTCTGACCAATGAGGTGTGGGAGAAAGTATATTCTCTAGACTAGCTGATGGGAGAAAAGTTGATCCTGCGACAATCAATCGATGTCATCTTTTGACCACAAGGTTTGGGGTCATCGTGGTGAAGATAGTAAAGCCCAAATAAGGGTAGACCTAAGTCTTTGCTGACCTATAATATAACCAGGAGTCATGCTGCCGTAAGGTATTCTATTAAATTTTTATTTTTCTTCAGTGTTCACACTTCTTTGAATTGGGTTCCTGTTACTTGTGGGGAATTAGCATTCTGAGTAATACAGTCTTCCATCCTGTGGTACAAATACTATCTCTCCCTGCTATATATAACTGGCCACACCTCCTCCCCCTCAAAGTCCTGCTGTGCTTCACCTGTGTTCTTCACTCAAGCTCAAAGACCTCTAGGATCTGGGCCCTGTCTATCTCTCTGGCTTCACTTCCAGCCACATCCCCACTCTCAGCCTCCAGTCCAAACATACTGACTCCCCCCCGCCCAGAGGTCTCAGAAGCTTCCAAGCTTCCATACTTTGAAAGAACAGTTCCCTCTGCACAGAATGTTCTTAACAAATGGTCTGGAGACACAATCTTGGATTTGAATCCCAGTATCACCCCTTGTACTATGTGACCATAAAAAGTGTAACTCACTTCACTGGGCCCCAATCTGATAGTTGATTAAAAAAAAAAAGAAGAAGAATTGGTCTACCTCAGAGAACTGCACAGTTAACGAGACATGTGAACTATGTGGCACCAGTTAGGAACTAAAGAAATATGAGTTTCCCACCCACTAGCTTCCCCTGTCCACGCTTCTTAGAACTCTGTTGTGATTTCGTGTGTTGAGGCTCATTCCCACCAAACTAGGAGCTCCAGAGGAGGCTAGAAATTGGGCTTGATCCAAACCCAGAGTCAGAGTTCTGTGAGTGGCGGAGAGAATGCCAGGCAGGGAGTGGGAGGAAGATGGCACCACAGCCCAGGGAATCTGAGCTCAGCTCAAACACCACCCCCTAGGAGCCTTCCCAGATACACAATCTGGTTCCATTACACTCAACACCTGTGGTCCCCTCGACCACACTCCCCTTAATTGTCTGTACTGGGGATCTGTGTCCCCCACCTAGTTAGGGGCTCTGTGAGGGTAGGAATATCATCTGGCTCCTCTCTATCCCCAGAATTCAGCACCTATGCTACATTCTCAGCGAATGAACATTTGTCAGCTTCAACGTCAGAGAAACTGCTAGAGCCCCTACTCACCCAGGCTGTCCCAGAACTGGGTCCACCCTCTCCTTTCCCACAGGAACACACTATAAATGGACAGCACACCAGCTGGTGTCTGAAACAGGGCTTGGATTTCACAAACCAATTGGCCTGTCCCAGAGTGGGGGTGGGGTCTTGCAGGCCCCAGAATGTAACCATAAATAGCCCAGCTCAGAGGCCTCCTCCATACTCTGATTTCTGCCTGAGTCACCCAACCAGGCAGGGTGGGGCTGCCAAAAGGCAATGGCCCGGGAAGTTGAGGACATGACCATGGGTTCTGCGGTCAGCATTCTGGAGATTCCAGTTGAAGTCTGGACCCTCACAGTCAAGTCCCTGACTCAGGATCCTTAGAGAGCAGGGGCAAATGGCCCTCCCTCCTCAGGGAAGCTGTGAGAGACAGGGGCATAGGAGCCCTCCCCCTTCCCAGATCCTCATTCCAAGGGACTTCCAGTTCTCCAGGCAGAAAAGTTAAGACCTGGCCCCAGCCTCAAGGAGCCAGGAACAGTCTACACTAGAAACACAGGAACAGAGTGAGGGCAGGGCCAGCTGCCTCACCCAGTACAACTGGGAGAGAATGTATGTGTTGCAGGGAAAAGCGGACACAGCTGTCTGGCTCAACACGGCACCCCACGCACTTCTCCCAGTACACAGTATGGCTGGTGATTGAATGTCTTGGCTGGGAGCCCTGGCTGAAGAGCAGCCTTCCCTGGGCTCAGACTGCTCCTTGTCTGTTCAGGAGGTGGTCACTCTCT